TTAATCTCTCCCAAACAGGACCTGAGACTCCCCTCATTGTGAGGGGGGTGGTGGGGCCATGTACCCTGGCGTGCAAACGCCAGGGTATAAATGGCTTTACCCCTGTGGGATAGCAAATTATCTTTATTACACTTTTTTACTCACCTTTTTAGTTTTAATTAAAGAAAATTAGAAATAAAGTGAATCGAACTAAATGATGCAGTCCGAATCATGGGCAGATTTTTTTTTTAATTAAATATTTGCTTATTTTAGTACACTGCACAAAATTGGAAATGGAAAGTGTGACTGGATCCGAAACAAGATTCATAGAGTTTCAATTTCCGAAATGGACATGCCACCATTTTTTAAGTTTATGAGCGACCTAACTTGTTTTATTAGATATACTGAACTAAAATTTATTAATTATTATAAAAAATGCGACCAACTGATTGTACAAATTCATAAATGAACTCGATATTATATTTCGTACATTCAATTGAACATAATGCTCTTTTTCCATAATATAGTACAATCTTGTTCTGTCAATAGAATATATTAGCACACCGAGATAGGTTAAGAGGTCCAAAATTATGCCGGGATGAATGTACGATTGAGATTTTATAATCCGAGAATCTAAGGGCTCGACTTGTGCCGTTGGGCTAAAATCTATGAGGTGCAATAAGCCCCGTATCTAGTTATGATATGAGCTTTTGGACATTGTTAGGCTATAGTCCAATTACTTTTAATAAACAGAAATGCATTAGTAGATCTTGCAAAGAATCCTAGAGTGATTTACAACACGAGGTCTATATTGTAAGTGATTTCCACTCTATACTCATTTATGCATAAATTTATATTCAAGTTACGCACATTTGAATATATATTCAAATTGGACAATAAACCATCAATGCATAAACTTACGTATATAAGCAAGAACACATCCCATTTTCAAGGAAACATATATAATGACTAGTTTATGCTTGATGACATTGTGGAGATTGCACAATGATTTATGTTGATTATATCATCCTTTCTTAATGGTGGATGTGTCAATTTTCTTATTCTCAGAGCTTGATAATCCTTTTACACGAACCCTTTGTACTTTGTTGACTCTCAAA